AATATATAGAGATTTATTAATATATTTATTTCTTTTTATTTTTACTTGTTGTTTTTTCAGAGCTGCTGTTAAGAAAGAAAGAAATAATAAAATAGTTATTATTAAATTATAATAAATGTAAATAACTTTGTTCATATTTATTAAAATATTTAATATAATATATAACACATGATTGTACCTCATTTATTTTCTTTTTTTTTATGAACTTACGAAGAAAGTAGATTCATGAGGGACTGAAACAGGCAGAATTGGTTTTAAAACTGATGTTGTTTCTTTTGAAGACCCAGTTGTTGTAGGTGGTAAGTACAATTGAGGTTGATCATCATTGAAAATCTTTAAAATAACTTTATCGATAAAAGCTCCTCGAGTCCAAAACTGTATGACAAATATTTTTGATATTCCTCTTATTTCTTATAAAATAGGAGGAATCATGTAGCGATCAGTGTATCCCTCCTCGTAAGTAAGCGTAGAGCAAGCTTTGTTAATAAGTGATTGCACTGTTTTACCGAACATTACAGCGTCTCTTCTTCCAGTGTTATCTTCAATATGTATATTTATTTTGTACATGTGTAAAAAAAATTAAATTATTTATTGTATTTGTTAATGAAAAATTAGTTCGTTTATTTTTTGTAATAAAATTTATTACCAAGTTAGTGTCACACCACCATGATGTTCCAGATTCTTGCACTTGTCTGTAACACTTTGTGTAAGCATAATAAAACCATCCTTGATACGTATTCAGATCAGTTATAGTTGCACTAATTGTATATTTTGTTTCCTATTCAGTAAAAGAAGAAACATTTTAATTCAATATATATACATATTATATTTAATGGATTATATTCATAAAGTTTATACCCGATTTTGGAATGGATCCAATGCTTGTAATACTTGGTCAACTCAAATCAGTCGAAACCCCTATTTTCTCAGTTCGGCCTTCCGAAACCCTTTTTCATTCCAATCAATTCTAAAACCCTAGAATTGATGTCTTTCAATTCTTTTTCATTTCTTAAACTTATCATTCATGTGTTTACCCAGTTGTGGGCTTAACACCACATTCTATACTTCTTTCTTAAATACAGTCCAAAAATTAGTAACTGCATCTTAGTTCAGAAATTTCTGAACTCTAACTTATAACTTGTTATTCCATAATTATATCAACAAATACTTATCATAAAAGTATTTATATTAATGATATAAAGGATTCTATAAAATATTATCACATACAATCATTCCGATAAATTTCTCGGTCATGACACCAAGTATTTTTAATAGGAATGTTAAACTTTGGTTAGATGGTTGACACCAACAAGTTGAAAATCTGTATATATCTGTGTGTGTGTGTGTGTGTGTGATGTATTCTTGGTACTTGGCATTCTGGTGACAATTACTAAATTGTCAATTTATCGACAGAATTTGTGTGGATGTGTTTGAAATGCAAATATATATGACTGAATTTTGTTTTTGGATGTATTGAAATACGTTATTTTTAAGTATTTCTTTTATTGGTCAATCTTGTCAACTGTCATGATTATAATTAGGGAGTTTTTCTAATAGATCCAGAAAAAATTAACTACCGATAGTTCTATACTTTTTAGTCGTTAAATCTGTATTAAAACTGTATTCTGCATACTTTTTTAATCTGAAATGTTTTTGAACAGATTTAATGATAAGAAAATAAGTCCTATCAATAGGACGGCCTACAGTAGAAACTCCCTTATAATTATTAGAAAAAGAAAAAATTTTGTCTGGATGATGTCCCAATTTCAAGAAGTAGTTAAATTTCTTTCTTCAAAGATAGAAAGTACATTGTTGTTCAATTTATCTAAGTCTTGAAAAGAGTTGTTTTTATTAAGTTATAGGTATGATTGTTGAGGAGAAAATTAACTATATTTAGAGCATTTTGGTAAAAGAGGAGGAGGGGGAGCAACCAAATGTTCGTTACTGGCTCGACCCATTTGAAAGCAAAAGAAGAGGAGCCAAGTTCATGACCGGGAAACCAAAACAATATTTCAGAGAATGTAAGAACTTATTTTAGTGTAGACATACAGGGACAAATTAGAAGAAATAAATATTTTGATAATACACGTCTGAAAATAAAAGATATAAAATTTCAAAGGAAAGTAAGGAGCAATAAAAAAAAAAATAGCAGCACAAAAAAAGCGAAATAAAAAGAAATTGAAGCGAAACATAGAGGTAACGTTTGATGAAAAAATATATATCATGTAAAAGAATATTTAGGTGAAAACATATTTGGAAAATATATTGATAAGTAAAAAGGATAAATTTAAACAGAAAAACATTTTGATGACGCACATTTTAGAATAAAGATATAAAATTACACAAGGAAAAAAATAAGAACGTACAAGGGAAAAAAAAGGACTTGTAAAAAAAAGGAAGAAAAAACAGAGAAGACGTCCTTTTGTCCCTACTAGTATGGTAAAATTATGAGCACTGTTAGATTAAGGATTCATTTAGTAGATAGATATAAAATCATGATTATGGCTCCTAATTTAGAATTAATGTTCATTTACAGTGATTCTGAATCATTATTTGAATGATTATGAATCATAATTCAAAACCTAATGTGATGTTTTAAATCAGAATCACTCATGATTCTAAAATCACCTCCCTTTTGATTCAAGGTAGTTCAAACTCTTAATTTTGAATCATAGTTTCAGAATCATGATTTGAACCTAAAATCATGAATAATGATTATGATTTTAGAATCGTGATTAGAATCACCATGATTTGAATCCTCGTACTAAAATAATGATATAAAGACCTCATTCATTTAACCGAATCGAGTTTAAAATTTGAGTTTTTTTACAGTAAAAAGTTCTAAAAAACAGTCACATCTAATTTTTTTTACTACAATCATATCTAAACTCAAATCGGTGAGATGAACGGAATCCTAAAAACGTAAAAAGGAAAAAAAAGAACTAATAAGAAAAAAGAAAAAAAGAAAAAAAAAAAGAAAAACTCTACGGTAGGGCCGTCCTTTTATTCCTCTTGGTAGGGTAAAATTATGAGCACCATTAGATTAAAAGATCTTAGGCCCAAAATGATGTTACCCAAAATGATATAAAATGATTTCACTCGATACAATTTCGATTTTAGCCTCCAATTTTCTTTCCTTTTCTCTGGCAAAAAAAAAGAAAAAAGAAAATCCCTAATTTATCCCAAACAAACAAACAAACACCCTTGAGTCTAATCAATTGGGCAAAATGGCGCTTCAACGGACTTCATGTATACACTCATCTAAATAAATGTTTCTTAAATCATAAATTATAAAGTTAAATTTAAAGACTCAAATCATCTTAATTTTAATTCTTATACTAAGCTGTTATTGTAATCTTTCCCTTTTTTGGTGTCGTTATCGGTTGGAAGCTAGCGCAATAAAGAACCCATAAATAATTTCTCGTCCCTGCTCTTTCAATGGCTCTGACAGCTTCCAACCGCAATAAATTTCAAGGATTAGGTGCTTTTAGCACATACTATCTCAATTTAAATTACTGGGGCCCACATGCAATTTCCTACCGGTAGGGGGAATTTGCATTCCTACCGCAGATATGCCCATTAGAAGGGAATGGTTTAAAACAGTAGTATTGTTGAATTTTTCGCTTCTTATGTCGTATAGAGCGACAAAAGTTTGGACATATAGGAGATCGAAACGACGTGTCATCTTTTATAGATTGTTTTTTTTTTTTTTTTTTTTTTTTTTTTTTTTTTTTTTTTTTTTTGTCGGCAGCTCTTAGGGAATTGATACGTTGAGTTGTTTTTATTTTGTTTTTATTTTTTTTAAAAATAAATAAATAAAAATAAAAATAAGTGAGAAACGACATTTGATATAATTAAAGATAAAAAATAAAAATAAAAATAATTTTTTAATTTAGTGTAAAATGAGAGATAAATAAATCCGTTTTCTCCTCACTTGAACAGAGAGTAAAAGATATTAATGAATTTTTTTATATTAAAAATAATCTCTTAATGAAATTACCAAACATATTTTTAAAAATAATTTCTCTCTAAAATTAAAAATATTTTTATTTTTATTTTTATATAAAAAAATAAAATCATTTCAAAATGAATTCTAAATATTTCATCCTTCTTTAATCTTTTGAAAAGAAAAACATAGTGCAAACAAGGCCGATTTACCAACCACTATGCTCTTTTTCCATAACACTTGTTCTTTTGATGAAATGCGGGTGATGTTTTCCGATTGACTTATTTTAATTGAAATTAAAAAAAGTTTTAAGAAATTTAATATTTTATTTTAAAAAATTATTATTATGATTTATAAAATTATTATTTCTTATATTTTAAGTATTTATTTTTTTAAAAAATTATTCCACTATTTTGATTAATTTAAATCTAAAAATATGTTAAATATGTTTAAATTGACGGCCACGTAAGAGGGATGTCACACAAAACCAAACATTTAATTCGATAAATACACGTTTTAGTTGATAATATAAGAAGGAAATGAAAAATTTAAAACGTGTGTTAAAAGATGACAATAAAAATAATAAATATCTTAAAACTTGTTTACCAACCTCTGTACGTACGCTTCAATTTAGATCGTTACTTTTTCCATAACACTTAGGGTTTGTTTGATACGAAAATTTAAATTAGGGTGATTCTAATCATGATTTTGAAATCAGAACTATGATTCATGATTTTATGTTCAAATAATGATTCTGAAACCATAATTCAGAATCAGGAGTTTGAATCATCTTAAATCAAGTAGGAGGGTGGTTTTATTTTTAGAATCATGAGTGATTATGGTTTAAAACATCACATCAGATTCTGAATCATGATTTATAATCATCTAAACTAAACAGTGATTCTAAATAATAATTTAGAATCACTAAAATCTAAAATTAAAATTCTGAATCTATTTACTAAACATACCCTTATTATTGCTATCCACAACAAAAAGTAGCACTCTCTATAAAATGATAGATCTTAAAGTCTCATTTTGTTTACGCTGATTCTGTCTAATAGTCAACTGCTATCACTGTGCATTCTTGTAGTGTGGCTTCACCTGCTGCTGCTGCTTCTTGATCATCAACGTGGGTAAATGCTTTTTTGTTTCGATATACTAATTAATTAGCTATTGAGTGATAATTAAAATTCTTCATCACCTGACCGATTATGTTAAAGTTTGGTGCACTTGATTCAGTGATCTATTACAATGGAATATGGAAATCCAATTAAAGAAAAAGAATCAAGCTTGGAAAAGATGAAGGAAAAGGCAAACGAGCCTCCAGGTATATCTCACCCTGACTCACTGTGAATGTGAAAAAGGAAACTACAAACGATGAAAACGTTGTATTCTTCAAAAACGATGATCTGGCTAGTCATAAACTATTAAGGATATATTCTTTTATCCAAATTATGTTGCTAAATTATTCCAAAAAATATGCATAATAAATATTCAATTCACACAGGCTTATAGCTCAAGTGGTTGGAAGTGTGAATGTGTGTGTGTCTACCAGGGTTCGAATCATAATGGTTTCAGTCTTGAATAAAGTGGAAGCCATATACTCCACATCATATTTAAAAAATAAAAAATAAAAAAACCACGGGCCGTACAAACTTTATGCTCGATTTCTTTACATGTTCATATAGTTCATCTAATGGTAAAAATTATTTAGCTGAAAATGGAAAATGGCAGGGAGTGATCACAAGATTGCAAATGAAGTCGACTTTGAACGGCACAGGCAACTCTTCCATGATGTCAGACAAGGTAATTGGGAGAATGCTAAGACGTATCTTGACCAACATCCTGATGCAGTGAGAGCGAGAATCGATTTTTCGGGCAATACTCTACTTCACGTCGCAGTGAGTGCTGGACATTTGCACATTGTGAAGGAGTTGGTGAAATTGTTGACTGAAGAAGGCCTGTTGATCCAACGGAAGGATGGTCTCACAGTTCTTGCAGCTGCTATAAAAATGGGAACCATCTCCATCGTTAAATGCTTGATTAGAAAGAACAAGAGACTAGTTAGTGTTGCTCGTGAAAATTGGGCTCTTCCAGTTATCGATGCTGTTTGTTACAACTATTACGAAATGGCTTATTATATTTATACCAAAACACCAGAAGAAGATCTAATACAGCCAGATAATGGCAAGATAGGCTCTTCCCTCATTTCTGATTGTATAAGCCAAAACCAATTTGGTAAGGACTCAACAAAAATAGAAATATAGCTGGATCGTCTAATGCTTCTTTGAGAAAACGCAGTGTATATGGTTAACTAGGTAGCTATGATTATCTAACCTTAGACTATGCTCGCTCATATGACCGTACAGTAGTTTTGAAACGAAGTCTTTCTTTCCTTTGTTGTTGTTGTTTTTTTTATTTATTATGTTTTATTTTCTTTTTTCTATAATGAGTTTTTGTAAAATTTGTGGACTCTTTTATATATAGTCATATTGAAATACTATGACACTACAGATATCCCCATCAAGTTGCTACGGCGTTGGCCACGTCTGGCAAATACTGCGGATCCTTATAACAGATACCCCCTGCGTTCATTAGCATGGTCTACAACTAAATCTGTCTTTGCTTGTAAAATCCAGTTAGGATTTTGGAAACGACGGGTATATGACTGTGAGTATCCACTTGTTTCTCTTCTAACATTTTATACGTATTAGTTATTTAACAATCTTGTTTAATTTCTTGTTAATAAACTTCCTTTCTCTAGCTAGCTATATTGCGAAGATTGACTGCAGGAAAACATGACCTTGGCACAGCTTGGCTTGCATAAACTAATCACGTAATTCATTATCAGTTGCCTCTATTTCTGTGGTGACAGGTATACACATCGCCAGTCATACAGCCAATCAAATTTCTATAGATGTTCAGAATCGAGAAGATAGCCAAATGGATGCGAATGAATTAACTCCAATTAGGTCAGGTAATTGAGGTTAATACTTTAAAAAAAAAGGTAAGGAATTAAATTTGAAATGTAAAGGTATAAATGTGATGCAATTTAGAAATAGAAGATGTTATTTTTTAATAACCAAAAGAGTTTACTTATATTTCTATTAGTAATATACATGTCTAACATAAATTATGAATATTACTATTATAAAAAAAAATTATGAATATTACTAATTTGTTTTTGTCAGAGTGCATTTATGTTCCTATTTGTCTCGTTCATTTTCTCATATGCATTAGAATAATTTTCTCACCAGAGGGAGAAGTTCTTTTAATTCTCTTCTCTCTGCCTTGTAGCTCACATATTGGTTTCTAAATTACTTTTATTATCTGGTATCTTATATTATAGCCAAACATAGAGTTAATATCTTGTATTTTTTGTAATATTAAAGTGGTATCTCTACCTACATCTTAAAACACATTTTTCAGTGCCTTTAAATCATATTGTAGGAAGTAAAATGACGAATTTGCCCTTATTACTATTTTCCCATTTTCTTGACCCCCGAAATTCAATTTCAAATAGTTGATTATAATAAAAACAAATCCTTCATCCGTTTCCTTTCCGCCAAAAAACAAGAAAAAAAAAAAATTAATCCTTCATCTTTCTCAAAACTTCAACCCGACCAAACAACAAATTCTTCATGATGGTCTCTTTTCCAACAAAATATATATATATATATATATATATATATATATTATCTTCGTAGAAATTCAACCCACCGACCCAGAGCAAATAATCCAAATCTGATATTCCACAAACAAAAGAACCAGATCTGTCTTCTTTCATGGAAGCCCTTGCAAACTCTGTTTTCATCCCCAACTTCTGGGAGCATTACCCCAACTCTTAATAACTAAACCTCTTGCTTCAGAACATCAATTAAGCGAATTGGGTCACTTAAAATTGGTGAAAACTCTACTTTTCTTAGACTAGTTCAAGGTGAAAGGACGCAGTTCAAAAGAATCTTGTGACGGGTTTGGGTTCATAAGAAACTTGATATGTGAATTGCTGGTTGAGGCCTGAGGGTGAAGGTGGCAAGATTGAAATAGAATTTCGGGTCGACAAAAAATTATAATTGACGTTGTTTGGTTGAAGGATTCGTTCTCTTATTCGAATCACGAATCGCTACAGTATTTTCTTTAAAAAAAATACACGTAAATTGAAAATAATTCTAATTACATGGTTCTAATCCATAAACCAAACGTTTCTGAGTTTTTTTTTTTTTAGTATTATATTCGTTTATTGAAATTGAATTTTGAGTTAGGAAAAGTAAGAGAACAGTATTAAAGGTAAATTCGTCATTTAATACTCTATAAAAATACTTAGAGGTATTAAGTAATATTATAAAGAACATAAATATTAATTTAATATTTTGTTATAATATAAAGTATTAAAATAATTTTATCCATACCAGCATTACTAACAGGCATAAAACTGGTTCTCTCTGTTAACGCAACGTTTGACATTCTCCCTCTTTCTATATTTTTTTTTTTTTCATTTTTTTTGACACATTCTCTCTCTCTAAATTCATCTTCTTTCAGCAGTTCATTTCTATATTTTCTCTTATCATTTCTTTGAATCATCAGTTGAAAAAATTGTTGGCATCTCAATATATTTCTCGCACCTTGTTTTCTTTATCCACACACCCAATTGCCCACTTCCAATATTTTTCTTTTCCTCTGCGATTACCCTTTCCTTCTTTCTCTAACTTCTTTCCACCTCAATTTGCCTGACACCTACACCTACACCCTTCCAAAGGATTTGTTTAAGAAAATCGGTGTGTGAAGACCAGAGCATGGCAAAGAAAATGAGTTTTTTAGGCTTTTTTTTTTTTTTTTTTTTCTTTTTTTATATAAAGAAAAGCAAAGAAAGTTAGAATTGGGATCTTGGACTAGCTTTATCAGCCCTTTTTCTTCACAAACTTATCATGCAAAATATAAAAAGGGAAAAAAAAAAAAACTCAGATCGTCTTCTAATCTCCCGCGCCGATAGCTGTTGGAAACAATTTTTCATCATCCTCAACAATTGTTATGGCTCCTTCTTTAAACCCTCCATCGTTCCAAATCAAAACACAAAAACTAGAAAAGATAATGTGCGCAAGAGCTCTAGTAATCTGCATTTTTTTTTCTCTTACAAGCACAAAAAGGAACACAGAGAAACAAAATCGAATTTTGAAAAAAAAAAAAAAAATCCAAGTTATGCAGCTTCTACTCAATCTCCTCTTCCCAGATGAGTGAGAAAGATTAGATTTTTTTTTTAGATCAAGAAAGATTAGTATGAGTAAAGAGAAAAAAGTGTCAGGAAAGAAATGGATAAAAAGAAAGAATTTTAAAATTAAAGTAACGGAGTCAGAGTTACTGTTAATACTTCATGTGAATTTTTAATTTGAGTTAAGATGTGACATGTTTTTAAAGATTTTAATTATAAAAAAAATATAAAGATTATATTTTTTGAGAGCTTTTAACTGTAAAAATCTAAAATTAAAAATTTAAATTTGTAATATAAATGAGTAGTGAATAGCTGACGTATCAACCATTAGTTAGTTAGACAGAGAGATGGACAAAAAATGTGGACAGGGGATCCGAGTTCTTTTGATTATGTATTTTCTCTTTATAAAAGTAGAGAAATATTAGTGTTATTTTTTTTATCACTCTCTTTATTTATTGTTTAACATGTAAATGCTACTATATTTAAAGTATTAATTTACTATAAGTATTAATCATTCTCATTAATTAATCAAAAATTAATAAATTTTTCTAAAAATATTTTAAAATATTTAAAAATTAAAAAAACCTTAAAACAAAAATAAAAAACAAGAACTCATATCATACTCAGATTCAATCTTATTTTATATTTTGTGGTCTTTTAAGCATGGGAAGAAAGAGATATTGGAGTTTTTATTTTTTATTTTTGTTATATGTTTTTTAAGCAGTTTTAATATGTTTGTAAAAAAATCTAAGCAAATTAAGTAAAAGGTAAATTTTATATTTTACGTCTTAAAAAGGACCTCATTGTATCAAAAAAAGATTTTTTAAAATATTGAGATACCCGCATAAAATTATAAAAAACATAAGATATCAAAGTCATATTTCATTATAACATAGGGTACTAAAATGAATTTTTCCTATAAAATGCTCACTGAATAAATCTTGGCTTAACAAAACTGATAATTTGAACTTAATATAGGTACGGAGAAATATTGAGAATATATATTTTTTCAATTCAATTATATTATAAAATAAGTGATTCTTTAACTAAATTTGTGAAAATTTGTTGAAAATTTATAATAAGTGTAATTTTATTACTAAGAAATATTACAAAGTTTACTTCAATTTCATTTTGATTTATTTTATGTATATAGTTATAGTTTGTGTCAATACAATCGAGAATTATTGGATTTTTCTTATATCATATACACACAAAGTCGGTGATGACTAATTTCAAATAATTATATTCTCCTCAGGATCGGTGGGTCTATTGACACGATTGAGTTCAAATCTTCTCCAACTTTTAGGTAACTTACTCGTATCATTTTTGCAAAAGCTCGCTGTTATCTATGGTCTCTTTTCCAAATATGCGTGTTAAAATTAATCATGCTTATTTAGTATCTAAATTAAACATATTATAAGATAAAAGGTCTCTGTTTTTCTCTTTTCACCTTGCATTTAAGTTTGTCCATATTTCAAAACTAGCTGGCTGGTATAAGTAATTGTTTCCATTGTTTGTTATTAATACAGATGTCAAGCATATACACAAAACAAAGTTGGCCCATGTTCAATACCTTGAACTCTTGAGTATCATGTACAAAGCAATAGAAACTACTTCAGACGAGAATCAAATAAACAAAGCTAGAGTCCATGACGCTATCAAGGAAGCTGTCAGCAATGGAAATGTCGAGTTTATTAAGAAGATATCAAGAGCGAATCCAGAACTTGTGTGGACTTCTGATCTAGCCAGAGACGTGTTTGTGCTTGCTATTGAACTTCGCCAAGCGGAAGTTTTGAGCCTTATGCATGGTCTCCCTAACAAACAAGTAATAGCAATCTCTTATTTTCCTGGCACTGAAAATACCATGTTACACAAGGCAGCATCAATACCATCTTCAAAAATACTCAATCTCATCCCAGGAGGCGCAGCTCTACAAATGCAGAGAGAACTACAATGGTTCAAGGTATCGTTTTTCACTTGTTACGCTAACAATTTACTTCGAAGCAAAATGTATACTGATTTGGGACCATAACATATATAGTCAGATCATTATCTCCCAAAATTTTGTTTTCTGAATTGAGTAGGATTTATGTATGATGAAAAAAGAACAGTGCCTTGACTTCCTGATTTTTTTTGTTTTTAATGGATAATGTAAGGAAGAAATGAAAATTTTAAACTTGTTTTAAAAAGATGAAAGGAACGAGTAAAATGCACGTAGTTCATTTCATAGTTTTTCGCACTAAAAAAGTATTTGGAACTCTTATGATAAGAACTATTGTTTTATACTATAATTAGGAACCGTTGTTTTAACTGTAAGAAACTACTGTTTTAACTGTTGGATTAGTTTTTCAACGGTCTAATCTGTGAGCGTCTACACTAAAATGTTACAAACTCGACACAAAATTATTCCTACTCCAAAATCAGACTATTAAAAAACTAAGCCAACGGCCCCTACAACAGTTCCTATTAGTAAGGTAAAATAGGAGTTACTACTATTAAAGTTCTCAAAAGTATTGGAATTATTGCCCCTTGAACTTTTGCACATTTTGCAATTTTTTAGTAAATAAGTGACAGGACTTGGCAAATTTTCTTCAACTAATTTATCTTAGTTTTTTATTGGGAAAATTTAACCGTCGTTGTTTACACATCTTTGTCAAAATAGTTAAGGTTGAAATGAAAAGTTCTAAATTCTAGAACTTAAAAATGTTAAAACTCTTAAATTCTTTCCTTAAAATGGTATACTTTTGTAATGAAGGAGGTTGGGTCAATCGTAACACCTGCGGAACACTTATATACAAACGAGAAGCGTCTCCGACCACAACAACTGTTTACAGAAAACCACAAGGATTTGGTAATTGCAGGAGAAAAATGGATGAAGGACACATCAGGTTCTTGTTCTGTTGTGGGTGCTCTAATTGTTACCATCACATTTGCTGCGGCATTCACAGTTCCTGGTGGTAACGATCAAAATATAGGCTTTCCTATATTCAGGAACAAAAAACTGTTCAAGGTTTTCTTTATATCAGATGCAATCTCACTGTTTGCGTCAACAACATCAGTTTTAATGTTCCTAGGAATCCTCACATCACGTTATGCAGAAGAAGATTTCTTGAAATCCTTGCCAACAAAGATGATAATAGGCCTCTCCACCCTATTTTTCTCAATAGCAACCATGATGATAGCATTTTGTGCTGCAGTTTCCGTTATGCTTCCAGAGACATGGATTGTTCTTCTCGTCTGCTTACTTGCGAGTGTTCCGATTGCCTCATTTGTAAGGATACAGTTTCATCTGTTAGTTGATATCTTCATGTCTACTTATGGACCAAGTATTTTTAAGAGGAACATTAAACCTTGGTTAGATAGCAAACGCCAATAAGATGAAGGTTTGTATTTTTATACATATGTGTGTGTGATGTATTCTTGGTACTCCACATTCTAGAGACAATTACTGAATTGTCAAGTTATCAACAGAATTTGTGTGGATGTGTTCGGAAAGCAAATATATATGACTGGATTTTATTTCTGGACGTATTGAAGTACAGTTCTTTTCAAGTACTTCTTTCATTGGTCAACCTTGTCTTTTTTTTTTTTATGGAAGAGAAAGTATCTAAAGATACAATTCAGAGTGAAAAGAAATCTGACCAATAATGTCTTTTTCTATCTAAAGAGCGAATAAGAGTAAATCATGTGACGTTGAAAACAACACATAAGATTTATCTAACTGTCTAGAAAAAGAAAATATAGTACTGGGGACAATAGACTATAGACAGTGCCATAAAAACCTATAAAAGTGGAGAGAACAAGATATAAGCAGGAGAAAAGACTAAAAATATAATTAAGTTATGAAGAAAACAAGATAGATGAACTTAGCTTATGTAGCAGAAAGGATAGTTATTGCTTCGACATTAATGGCAATTTGATCGTTAAAACATTATCTTGATCTATTTGCTTACTTGAATGCGGTTTGTTAGGAAGAGACTGTAAAGGAAGGAATAGAAGCCGTCCTTACAAACCTCAACACCTCGTAAATGTAAAAGATATGGGAAATAATTAACAATAGGACTAATCAAAATTGGCAAATCTGTGGAAAAGTCATCGGAATAAAAAGCTAATAATTGAATGAAGAGAAGTAGATAGTTTAATAAGGGTTACATACAATGCTCACACTACAACAATTTCGCTTATTTGCGACGACATTATTTGCGACGACAATTGTCGTCGCAAATAAGTGAATATTTGCGACGACATGTAGCCGCAAATATGTTCGTCGAACTGGAAAAATAATGTCTTCGTAAAAATTCCACATGTCATCGTAAATAAAGGCTTGGCGCCAGATCTCATATGGCGCGAACTTTTACCGCCAAAATAACATTATTTGCGGCGACATGTCATCGCCAATACTTTATTATTTGCGACCACATATATCGTCGCAAATAAAATTTAATTTATTTGTTTTCCCCGACCAAAAAAGATTATTTTGGTGGGTAGCGAAATATTTTTGCGACGACATTCTATGTCGTCGCAAAAAATGATTTTGAATTCCCTCAACAAAATAGAAGGCAGGAAAAGAGGGTGGGTGCCCAAAATATTATTTGCGACGACATTACACTATCATCGCAAATAAGAATTCCAAAACCTTCCTCCCACAACATTTGTCGTCGCAAATAATGAAATGTCGCCGCAAATAATTTTAAGTTATTTTTGCGATGATATGTCGTTACAAATAGTCTTTAGTGTCGTCGCAAAAAAGTCAGTTATATGCCCACAAGCAAGCCCTCCTTCTCCATTTTTTCCGATCGGCTTCTCTCTCTCTCTCTCTCTCACTCGGCCTCTCACCATTTTCTCTTATTTTCTCACTCCAAAATCTTAAAATCTCTTTATATTCTCTTCAAAATCAACAATATTATAACTAATGTCCAATGTTTGTTTGTGCAGAATTTTTTGGTCGCTGCAATGGGGAAACTCGGGAAGCAAAAGCTGAAGTCCATGTTCAAGAAGAAAGCTTCCAAGAGTAATCTTCTCTTTCATTTTCGTTTTTTGTTTTTATTGCTTTTATGTTCAGACTTTGATAATTTTTCTTTTTAATGCTTTTATTTTCTTTTATAAGTTTTATGATTACATAACAGTTGTTCACGATTTTTTTTTACTGGTTTTTTGTTTTCTCAGAGACAAAGGTCAAGATCTGGTTAACTTATGGATATCTTCCAGAAGTTATGGATTGTGTTTATGTAGTAATTTATTAAGTTCCTGGAAAGCTATGTCCAAAACTGGTTGAGAACTGGTTTTAAACACTTTTATGACGACACTATGTCGTCGCAAATGCTCTATCACACGTCATCATCGACGACATATTCGATGGAGCATTCGTGACGACTTATTCGCGACGACTGTCGTCGCAAATATATTTGTGACGACATATCAAAACTTTGTCGTCTCAAATATATTATTTGCTACGAGTTTTTCGTGACGACTAATTTGCGACGACATGTCATTGAAAATGCTGTATTTGCGACGATAAATGACCTATTTGCGACGACATTGAGTTGTCGCAAATGACCTTTTTCTTGTAGTGTCAATAGAATAAAGATGTACGGATTGAATATTAAGGTCTAAAGTGAGCTTTTATTAGCACATAATCAAAATACAATCACAATCACCAAAGAAGAAAGAAACTAAGACAAAGACAAAATAACAATAACACAAAATACAATAACACAATTTAAAGAATGGGAAATATTGTTATGAAGAATCTGAAAATACAATAGACTATTATCATCAAAGACATTAGTGATACAGTGACACATTTCTTCCTTTTCATTTTTTTTGTTAAATTCAAATAACTCTTACGTTTTAAGAATTTTGTTAAAAAAAAAAAAAAAGATTAGTTTCGTTTATGCTTGAGTTATGAGCTGATTTTCAGTTTCAATAAAAAATAAAAAAGCTCTCTGGGGAGTTTTGAATGTCGTTGTCGTTTTTTCTTTCTTTTTCTTTTTTATTTAGATTTTATGATGTTGTGTTGTTTAGAGATAAAGCTTCTCAATTTCTTGCGCTGAAATTTTACTGAAAATTTTCCGAAATTTCTCAACATTTTATCCAAATTATAATATATGCTTAACAATATCGATATTTACTGATTTTTTATTTATTTATATTTTCTGACATTTTGCTGAAAACGATTTTTTAGTGGAAAAAAATTTGAAATTTCGATACCTACTTCGGTGAAATTTTCATCCTTAGTTATTGAACTGAAAAAGTCATTTGCCAAAATTAATTTCTCAATTAAATAAATAAATGGAAAAAATTAAATATGGGAAGACGTATGTTCCAAAGTTAGTCCTTATCTGAATAAATAGATAGAAAGCGTCAAATATGTGTAGCTTAAAAATCTCGTTCTAAAACATTTTTCTTTCGGCCCCACTTTGACTAGAATGTTTACCTCGACCTCAGTTCCAACCCAATCCCAGCCTCAATCTTGATTCTAGTTTCGAAAGTAACAATTTTTCAAATCAAGGAAAAGATTTGTATCAAAAAAATTGAAAAAGGAAATTCTTTATTTATAAATAATAAGCTGACAACAATTTAGATTCTTTATTTATAAATAATAAGCTGACATCAATTTAAAAACAGAAAATCATTCTAATCTGTTTTATTAAAAAAAATCATTTTCATTGAAAAACTTGTTTAAAAAAATGATTCTGAATATGGCCTAAACTGTTGATATTTAATGATTTCAATCATTTATTTAGTATACTGATTAACTGACACTATTTTCTTAGGTTAGGGAGTAAATATCGTATAACTTCTCATTTATCCATTAATTTAAGTGTATTTTTTGACATTTTTTTTTTTTAATTTAGGGGTTATATATGGTTCGACATGAGGGACCAAAGACTGCCTTCTGCCGGCATTTGGTAGATTACCAATGGTGATTTTGTAGATTAATTTTCAGACCAACAAGGTACTATTTTCGCTAAAATATACATTGCTGATATTTAACTTGTTAATTTAAGGGGTATAAATATGAATGCTAGCTCTTTAAGAGCCACTAGTTATTTTATATTTTTAATTAAAATAATTAATAATTTAGCTTTTTTTTAGCTTTTTTTTTTTTTACTCTAACCATTAGTTAAATGGTTAACTATTTTGGCTAAAGTATTTTCCACTAACTAAGAGCATCTTGTTGTGAAAAATCGTAACGCAAGTATACGCTATCGCAATCAAGTAATATAATAGTGAATAAGAATATCGTCCCACGAGGATTGTTGTTTACTAATTACCGACATTATATTAACTCTAATTTTATTTGAATACTTGAAAAGAGAGTTTATAAAATTAAGTAAAGTAAAACTAAAACAATTAAATAAATTAAACAATGCTAAGCAATGGATGAAAATTCAATAGATTAAGATTCTAGGGTTTCCGATTTCACCAAATTAATCATGTTCAAATTCTCATAATTCAAGAAAATTAACATTCAATCCTATACCGACAGCAATTTCTCTAAAGCAATTATTATTCTTTCTCAAGCAACGATAATATTAATCCAACAAGCAAAATCTACATCTCTGTCAGACTTCTAAACCTGTTGAAAATCATTAAGTGTAAGAAATTCAAAAGAACTGCACAAGCATCATAGATATCTCTATCCTATGAACAACTCATGGTATTTCAATTAAGAGCTTATTCAATTATCACCTCTCAGTCTCAAATCAAATACAAAATAGTGTAATAGTTGGCCAAACAATCACAAGCATTAAGAATAAATTCAAATACTCAGCATATATGGATTAAACATCAATTACTTAAAAAGAAGATTGAGAATTCGAACATTCATAATCCGGCTACATCGTAGCCCTAGAAAAAGGAATTAGTTCATCTCTAAACATAATAAATTCCTAAACAAAGTCTTAATCATTGGAAAGGAAAGAAAAGAACTAGTTTGGAGTTGAATTGAAGCATCCCCGTCTCCGGATTTGAGCCGTTCTTCTTCTTCGTCCCAATTCTCCTTTTCTTCTCTTGAATCTTCTCTCAAAAGCCAGCCGTCATTCCATAGTCTAAAAGTCCCCTCTAATTGCCCTAGAATATCTATTTATATGTTTCGGAGCATTAGGGTCAAAACGGGTAAGTTTTCTCACGATTGGCCTTCAAAACGCGTAATTTCTCGCGTCGTAGCGCTGCGGCGCTGAGTTTCCAGCGCTGCGGCACTGTTGTGTCAAACTCCTAGGCGCTGCGGTGCTATAATGGGCGCCTAAGCGCTGTCCATTCTGCCCAGTGCACAATTTCTGCCGGATTTCAGCGCCGCGGCGCTACAAACAGGCGCCAAAGCGCCACTAGTTCTGCCTAAATTGCTGATTCTGTATAACTCAGTGCCAAGGCACTACAGATTGGCACCTAAGCGCTATGATTTCTGTCTTTTTCCACCGAAATTTGTCCAAAACCTTCCAAATCATAGACTTCCACCTATCCTTCAAACAAAGAACGAAAACACACATAAAAACTAACAAAAACCTCGAAACCAACTAGATATTAAGTATAAAACGATACCAAATGAGCGAGTAAAACTCACTCATCACATCTCTACGGAAAATTTCTAAATTTAATTTAAATTTTAGCTAAAATGGCTAGAAAGACATTTTAGCTAGCACTATTTGGGTGGTACACTCCAACTGTACTCTCTATTTTAACTAAGTATAGATTATTTTAATATTTATTGAGTTTAAAAATATAAATAACTTTATTGCATTTAGAAAGAATTTTTGCATTTACAATGATTTGAAAGAATAAAATATTATAAAAAAATAAATTGTTAGCCACTTCTTGTTAGTTATATTTAGTTAGTGGGAAATAGATTCTCCAAAATAGCTAACCATTTAGTTGATAGTTGGAGTTGAGAAAAACTAAATCTAGCTAAATTATTAACCATTTTAGCTAAAAACATGAAATAACTAGTATGGTCGGAGTTGCTCTAAATATAGCTAGTAAGAAGTAATTAGCTATTTACTCTTTTTCTTATTTTATTCTTAGTTTTAACATAAAGTAAAAGTTTTAAAAAATTAATATTTTAAACTCAAAAAAATATTAAAATAATTTTTGTTTAGCTAAAATAGAGAGTATGATTATAGTTACTCACTAAAAAATTGTTAGTTAAAATAACTTTTTAGTCATTTTAACTAGAATTTAACTAAAATTTAGAGAGTTCCATCGAAAATGCTCTAAGAGACACTCAAGATTTAGAGGTTATGTTACGAAAATTTTAGTAATTAATATTTCTAGAAACTACAGTAAGTAAATAGCAAGATTTTAAAATAGTTGTAGCAATAGCAAGTTTAATAGATAAATAATCTATTTACTAGAATTAAATAAAATAATAGTTTACTTTCATAAATGACTATAACTTTGTACCCTGTTTTAATATGCTTGTATTTTTAAAAGAGTTTATTTGGTTTCAAAATTATGTATCCTAATTTAAAATACTTGGTACATTTTAAAAAATTAATAAAATGATAATATAACACTATTTATACTTTTATAAATGGTCTCTAATTTCATAAATGGTTCTTAAAGTTTAGTTTCAATCTCAATTTAATCTTGACTTTTTAAATGTCACACAGTTAATTATTAAAATTTTATTCAGTTTCAGTTTCAATCTTTCTATTAGATAGGTAAATTATAAGCACCTTTAGATTAAAAATCTACCCGTAGGAAAAGAAATAATGACCACAAACCTACAATATCAAATTAAGGTCCCGTTCATTTTACTGATTTAAGTTTATAATTCGAGTTTTATTACGGTAAAAAGTTCTCAAAAATAATCACATTTAATTTTTTTATTACAATAAAAAATTATCACGTAAAGTCATATTTTAACTCAAATTAATGAGCTAAACGGGCCTAAATCCTTCCTCCAAGTAAAAAATTCCATCTAGCTTCCATCTTGCTCCTCCCCAACGCAAGCCGTCTCTTTCGTCGGTAGTCTCACCGACGACGGCGCCGGCACAAACCACCATTACTTGACGACTAGAAATCTCAGAGCTGAGGAACTCCTCCGTCAAAACCTCCGACGTCGTCCCCGAGACCTAGAGATTCAACGAATTGGCTGCCACTGACAAGGTGGTGTTTGTTTTTTTTTTTTTTCTTTTCTTTTTTTCAATGATCTTGTTCTAGAGTAGAGTGATTTGGAACCTTTCATATAAAATGATTTCACTTGATAGAATTTCGATTTTAGTCCCCCAATTTTCATTGCTTTTCTCTGGCAAACAAACAAACACCCTTGAGTCTAATCTGTTATTGTAATCTTCCCCTTTCTTGGCGTCATTCCCGGTTGGAAGCTACCGCAATAAAGAACCCATAAATAATTTCTCTTGTCCCTGCTCTTTCAGTGGGTCTTACAGATATCAATGGCTAGTTAAATACTCCCCTGATATTCTTCTGCAACAAACTTCAATGGAGAATAATTCTGCCATGTTCTTTTCCTCTCGTTGTGAGCTATAACATAAGCAAGCTCGTAATGAAATACATGAGAGATGGAAGTGAAGATGAGTGAGTCATTGGAAATGAATTTAAGGCCTCGTTATTTTTAAGTTTTTATAGTTAAATTTTTTTTAGAAAATGTCATATTTCATTTTTCTGTTGTATAGTTAAAAACTTTTAAAAAAAATCTGCAAAAAAGAACGTGACCTAAAGTTTGGAAATTTTTTTTCTTCTTCGTCACCGTCGAGGGTGGCTTTGTCGTCTGGTTTGCCGTGCTAAGTGATGCTTTTATTTTTTGTTTTTAATTAAATTAAATAAAAGAGAGAAGAATTTTTTGAGAGAGAAGGGATTAGGTGCTTAAGCACGTACTATCTTAATTTAAATGACTGGGGCCCACATGCAATCCATACAAAGCCAGCCATTGGATTGCTCCCTACCGAGTAGGGGCAATTAGCACCCGTACAGTAGACATGCCCATAATAGAAGGGAACGGTTTAAAACAGTAAAAATAATAAATATACTAACAACTTGTTTACCAACCTCTGTACGTACGCTTTAATTTAGACAGTTGCTTTTTCCATAACACTTATTATTGCTATCCAACCTCTATAAACTGATTTAGATCTGCATTCTTGTAGTGTGGCTTCACCTGCTGCTGCTGCTTCTTGATCATCAACGTGGGTAAATACTTTTTTGTTTCGATATATTAACTAATTAGCTATTGAGTGCTATCGTTGTGTGCTAATTAAAATTCTTTATCACCTGACAAATTATGTTGAAGTTTGGTGCGCACTTGATTCAGTGATCTATTACAATGGAATCTGGAAATCCAATTACAGAAAAAGAATCAGGCTTGGAAAAGATGAATGAAAAGGCAAACAAGCCTCCAGGTATATCTCACCCTGACTCCCTGTGAATGTGAAAAAGGAAAGTGCAAACGATGAAAACGTTGTATTCTTTAAATCCCCCCATCTGGGTAGTCCTAAATTATTAAGGATGTTCTTTTATCCAAATTATGTTGCTAAATTATTCCCAAAAAATGCATAATAAATATCGATTAGCATAGGCTTATAGCTCAAGTGGTTGGGAGTATGAATGTGTGCGTATGTCTACTAGGTTTAAACTACAATGGTTTCATTTTTTGAACAAAGTACGAGCTATAGATCCCATACCGTATTTTAAAAAAAAAAAAAAAAAAAAAAACACTGGCGGTAGATACATTATGCTCGATTTCTTTACATGTTCATATAATTCATCTAATGGTAGAAATTATTTAGCTGAAAATGGAAATGGCAGGGAGTGATGACAAGATTGCAAATGAAGTCGACTTTGAACGGCACAGGCCACTCTTCGACGCTGGCAGACATGGTAATTGGGAGATGGCTAAGACGAATCTTGACCAACATCCTGATGCAGTGAGAGCGAGAATCGATGTTTCGGGCAATACTCTACTTCACGTCGCAGTGAGTGCTGGACATTTGCACATTGTGAAGGAGTTGGTGCAATTATTGACTGAAGAAGACCTAATGATGCGACAGAAGGATGGTTTCACAGTTCTTACATTTGCCATAGTAATCGGAAACATTTCCATCGTTAAATACTTGATTAGAGAGAACAAGAAACTAGTTCGCATTTTTCCTACTTATCCTGACATTCCAATCAGCGTTGCTGTCACCTTAGGCTTTCAAGAAATGGCGCGTTATCTTTATTCTGAAACACCAGGAGAAGATCTAACGTTGCCAGAGAATGGCATGATAAGCTCTTCCCTCATTTCTGAATGCATATACCGAAAACAATTTGGTAAGTGTTCAACGAATAAACAAATATTGTTGGATAGTCTGTGGTTTTTTGAGAAAACGTAGTGTATATGGTTAACTAGCTAGCATCTGACCTTAGACTATGCTCACTCATATAACCGTACAGTACCAGGTTTTTGAAACGAAATTTATTGCTCTTTCCTTTTTCTCTCCTTTATTTTCTTCTATAATGTGTTTTTGTAAATTCGTATTGAAATCCTATACCACTACAGATATCCCCATCCATTTGCTCGGGCGTTGCCCAGGTCTGGCAATTACTGTGGATAATTTTGACAGACTCCCCGTGCTGTCATTAGCAAGTTCTGCAACCAAATCCGTCTTTGCTACTAGAAGCCAGTTAAGATTTTGGCAACGATGGGTATATGATGGTGAGTATCCACTTGTTTCTCTTAATTCTTTAACAATCTTCTTTAATTTCTTGTTAACAAACTTCCGTTCTCTATCTATTGCAAAAATTGACTGCAGGAAATCATGACCTTGGCAACTTGGCTTTGCATAAACTAATCATGCAACTCATTCTCAGTTGCCTCTGTTTCTTTGGTGACAGGCATAAACATTGGCAGTGATGCAGCTAATCAAATTTCTATGGATGTCCAGAATCTGGAAGATAGCCAAATGGATAAAAATGACTTGACTCCAATTAGGTCAGGTAATTAAGGCTAATAAGATGATTTTTGACCAAAAAAAAGGTAAGGAGTAAGTGATTTTTTTAACTGAATTCATGAAAATTCGTCTAAAATTTATAAGAAGTATAAGTTTATAACTAAGAAATATTGCAATTTTTTCTTTAATTTCATTTTAATCTATTTTATGTATATTGTTATACTTTACGTACGCATAGTCATGAATTATTGGATTTAAATATATAATATACACACAAAGCTTAGTGATGATTAATGTCGAATAATTATATTCTCCGCAGTACTGGTGGGTCTATTGGCACGAATGCCATCAAATCTTCTCCAATTTTTAGGTAACTCACTAGTTCTCTTTGTTATTCTTAGTCTCTTTTTCAAATATCTATATACACACACACACACACACATATATATATATATATAAGGAAAAAAGGAGGGAAATAGACGAAGTTAATAGGATAATAAAAATTAATAGATCAATACTTAAAAATAGCTAGAGCACTTTTGGTATAAGGGTTTTAGAACTGGAATTATGATTTTAGTTCAAATTAATGTTTGTTTACAAAAAGAAAAAAGTAGTCTAGATTTGACTGACATAGATTCAGTGTTTGGTTTGGATGGTTCTGATTCAATGTTTAAACCTTGATGTGATGTTTTAAATCAGAATCACCTATGATTCTAAAACCACCCTTTTTTTATTTTAGGTGGTTCAAACCCGTAATTTTGGTTCTGATTTTAGAACTATGATTTGGACTCAAAATTATGAATTATAATTCTGATTCCAAAATTAAAATTAGAATACTTTAATTTAAACTATCGTACTAAACGAACCCATAGTAAATAGACCAACTGAGTGTATATCTAGATTTACCAATTGATTAAATTACAAAAGTGTCCCTATATCTGGATACTACTTTTGAACATTTGAACACCTGACACCTCTCTCTCTCCCTTCTCATATTCTCTCTCTTCGAATAGCACCCGCATATCTTCCCCCCTCCCAAGGCGCCTAAAAACCATACATAAATAACAAAAAGTTCACAAAATTGTGAACTTTTTCAACGCCAAAAACCATGGCACTGAATATGAAACTTTTTGAAAAATGTTTTGTTATGCCACGGTTGAGAAATGGACCATTGCTTTGGCTGCCAAGCATCGAGACATTTCCAGTCGAGAGATGGTCACTGACGCCGAGGAAATGGTCGTACAAAAGGTGCCCTCAAGACGACGAGAGTGTTGAGTCGGTGGAGGATTTGCGTCGAGAACTCCGCCTGAGCTGTGAACTTTGCACCGTCGAGAGAGCAACTCAGTCAAATCTCAACTAAATCCCGTCATCTCAGGAAAAGATATACTGCAGCAACTACCCCGATTTGGGTCAGGAAATTAGATAACCAATGAAGGTGATTGTCCCGATTTGGTAGTTGAAATTACGGGTGTAAATCGGCCGGGTAGGGTAGGGTTGAGCCGAAAAATTGAGCCTACCCGACCAGTGCGGGTTGAGAAAATTTTAGGCCGTGACACTCTCTTAAGTCTACAAACCCGCAACCTTTTGGGTGACCTCATATAGGGTCGGGTTACTCGGGTTGGTGAAAACTAATTTTAATCTATGACTTCATCAATTTTAATCAATTTTTAGTCAATTAATCTGTGCTTGTTATAGAAGAAATCATTATCAAACAGAACATGTCCTTCCTTCAAGAGGGGGTCTAAATGCAATGTGAACAATTAAAACACTCACTTTGAAATCAAACACTTCCAATATAAATAAAGAATGTCCTAATTCAACAACTATGGTATACAAGCATTTTTTACACAAACCGTGAATCCAAAACATAAATAAGTTAACAGTTTAAAAACATAAAGTCCATAAACTTATGAAAGTAAGAATTTGAAGTGTTGGACATTGTTTTACTTACTTTGAACATGTTCGGCCGGGTAGGGTTACCTCGGGTTCATGTAACCCCACCCCGCGCCCCTACCTGTGCAGTGCGGGTTAGGCATAATTAAAACTAAAAATTAAATAAAAAATTGGAAACCCGTGATTTTCGAGTAGGGTCGGCTCGGCTCGGCTGGGTTCGTCAGGTTCGGGGTGATTTCTTATAGCCTTAGCTGAAATCGTGGAAGTACAGCTGCCAGATCCCAAGATTTAGGGGGAAGGGGATGATCTCATTGAGAAATGGAAAGGAGATCCCTAATATGTAAAACGCCTACAAATAGAGCATGATTCTTCTGTTAACTTTTTCACGCACTATTATACAACTCTGAAAGATTGTAATCAACAAAATATTAGTGCATCCACAAGTGGACGTAGGCGGAGAATTCTTGCCAAACTACTATAAATTTATGTGTTATTTATTTCCTATAACTATAATATTTGATTAATCCGTGACAGATGTTTGTGAGTGTTCCTGGAGAGTTAATATTTAGTTGACTAAATTTTATCGTTAACAATTGGTGCTAGAAGGAGGGCCCCAAACCCAAAAATCAAATCCAGCAAAAAGCAGTGAATATGCCTCCGAGAAAGACTCGCAGCATGACGACCAATCAGAAAAGTCAGGAAGGCCAGAATCTTACCATTGGAGGGAGGAATCCAACGAATCCACCCAACGGCAACCAGGAACTGACGGGACTACAACCTAATCATAGGGCGAACCCATCGGCCGTTGGAAACCCCCCAGATTGCCTAGACCTGCTTCAAAGACAGGTCAAAACACTCGTTATGGCCGTAGAAAGGATGGCTATAGCCCTCGCTGAACGGGATCAAAGGCCAAATTTGATGTCATAGCTGGAGGATGCGCCGATGAACCTAGTGAACGCCGCTGTCGGGAACCAAGTGATTGGCGACCAACGTGGTGGCGCTGAGGGGGTCGGTGACAGTGGGGCTAACAATAACCCCTGTCCAGCCAAGTCGAATAGGTCTTTGGGGAGCAGACAACGGGCTCCCAGGCAAATAGCCCAAGAAAGGACTGCAGCTCAGACAGTGAATAACAGAGAGGTGCCTCCCCGACCACAAGAAAACAGATGTCGGAGAAACGTTGTTCTGGTGGAATATTCGTTCGTACGTGGTGGAGACCTAAGAGAGCAGTTGAACACTTGATGCGTTCGAGATATGCAGCAGGCCAAGGAGGAAGAGCTCACGGCCAAGAATAAGGTTCTGGCTGAAAAGATGGCCAAACTAAAAAAACAGATAGGGAGTCGGCTAAACAACTTTGAGCAAGTTGTTAGAAAGGTGGCCGAGGCTGTAAACATCGACGCCAAAATATACACGTCTCACAACCACCCGTTCACAAAGAACATCATTCAGGTGTCGCTACCCGATAAGTATAAGCCACCCCCATTCCCTTATATAATGAAAGGAGTAATCCAAACGACCACCTGGAAGTCTAACAGGGCACATGGTCCTTCATAGGTATCATGAGGAGGTCATGTGTCGGGCGTTTAGAAACCATCTTTCTGACTCCGCAAGAAGGTGGTTCAAGTCCCTGAAACCATACTATCGAAGAATGCATTCCTGACTCAGTTCATAAGTGTCAAAAAGTACATCCTATCGAAGCAAAACCTTTCAAGGGTTTACCAGGGGCCGAATGAGTCCCTGAAAGATTGGATAGCCCGATTCGGAGAACATGTGGCTGGCACCGAGGGTATCTCTGACGAGGTGGCTTTGATGGAGGCCATGTCGAGTATGAAGAAGGACATCCTCTACATCCCAGACCTCGACCGGAGGCGGCCACAGACCTACCAAGAATTCTTGACAAAAGCATAGGGATGCATTAATACAGAGGAGGCCAAAAAGGTCTTAAAAAGTAAGGTGGTGGTCCCCGTAAAAAAGGAAGCAAGGCAGCTAAGCAACCAGAACAACAGTAAGAAGCGCCGAGGTAATCCTTAGGTGCAAGCGGAGCAAAAGTATAATCCAGCCTCGAACAACAGGGGCAACAACACCTCGGCAGGACAGGGGGATACCAAGCGGTCTAAGCCATAAAAATATGACCCCTACACCCTATTAACCATGGGGATTGAGGATGTTTATCACGAGATAAGTCACCTCCAGATATTACGTCGGCCGCCACCGCTCAAATCTGACCCAGTGCGAGGAAATCAGAGTAAGCGTTGTAGGTTTCACAGTGAAAGCAGACTTACGACCGTTGAATGCTTTGATCCGAGGGACGAAGTCGAAAGGTTGATCTGAGAAGGGAGGCTCAATGAATACCAGGCCAATCGACGGAGCAACAACAATCGGCGAAACAACGACCGACGGGAAGATCAAAGGTAGGATAATCCGCTCAAACATGTTGGCATGATAAGAATAATCTTTGGAGGGCCATATATCAGAAGTACTTCGCGTCGCACACAAAAGGAGTACGTTAGGGAAGCGAAGGAAAAGTTTAACCGGAGAATAATGAGTATATCCGGTCGAGAAATAAAGGCGGCGAGATATGAAAAGGCCGAAATAACCTTCTCAGAGGCAGACGCTAACGGTGTGCATTTCTCCTAGAATGATACTCTCATTGTTGAAGCCATGATCGGTAACCACACGGTTTGCCACAACCTGGTTGACAACGACAGTTCGATAGACATTCTGTATGCCGACTGCCTCAACAAGATGGGGTTCCCCCGAACGAGACTGCAGAGTAATACACAACCCTTGTACGGCTTCTCTGGGGATTGTGTCATCCCTGAGGGGATAAGAGAACTACCGATGACGATTGGTGACCGACCACACACCTTGATCATTATGTTAAATTTTTGGTGGTGAATGGAGGTGACCAGTATAATACAGTCATCGAGCGGCCAACGCTGAGAGCTCTGAAAGCCATAACGTCAATCTATCATCAGATGATGAAGTTTTTAACCCCCAACGGGATTGGAAAAGTAAGACGAAACTAATATGAGTCTAGGCTTAGGTATTCGGAGATGGTATGCCACTACGTTGAGCCGAGACAGGCGAGAAGGGAGATGAGGATAGTGATGGCCGGGGCAGAGGAATTTGATCTAGATCCGAGACTCCCAGGCGACGAGACAGGGACGGGACTGGTCGAGGAATTGATCGAGGTCCCTATTGATGAGAATGAGTTGATAAGAAAGCTGAGAATAGGCTCAGAACTTGAGGAACAGAGCCGGGAATGACTGATAAAATTCTTCAGAAGCAACCTCGATGTGTTTACTTGGACTCATGATGACATGGAGGGGATAAGATCGGATGTAATGAGCCATATGCTCAACATAGATGAGAAGTATTATCCCAAGAGGTAAAAGCGTCAACCAATGAATGCCGAGAGGTATAAAGCTCTACGGGGGTAGGTTGACAAATTGATAAAAAATAACTTTATCTCGGAAGTCCTATATCCTGAGTGGATTTCCAATCCTGTGCTGGTACTAAAGCCTAATGGAAGGTGGCGGAATTGTGTCGACTTCAGCGACATAAACAAAGCATGTCCCAAAGATAACTTTTCGCTCCCAGGAATTGATCAGCTGGTCGACGCCACAGCGGGGCACGAGCTCTGAAGCTTTATGGACACATATCTGGCTACAACCAGATACCAATGTTCCCCCGTGATGAGGAGAACACAGCGTTCATCACTGATAGATGCCTGTATTGCTATAAGGTCATGCCCTTTGGCCTCAATCAGCGTCTGGTCAACAAGATGTTTGCAGATCAGATAGGAAAAATGATGAAGGTATACATCGATGATATGCTAGTGAGAAGTAAGAAGTCTGAGGACCATGTGGGGCACATCAAGAGGATGTTTGACATCTTATGAATGTACAGACTGAAGTTGAATCCCCTCAAATGCGCGTTTAGGGCCAAGTCAGGGAAATTCTTAGGTTTAATGGTGAGCAGTCAAGGAATTGAGGCCAACCCAGAGAAGATACATGCATTCCTCGACATGAAATCGCCAAGAAAACTAAAAGAGGTCCAAAAATTAACGGGTTGTATAGCTTCGCTCAACAGATTTATCTCAAAATCTATAGATAAGTGTATATCGTTCTTTGATACCCTGAAAGGAAGCAAGCCATTCCAATGGACAGAGGAGTGCGAACACGCGTTTCGACAATTGAAGTGATGAGCCATGGTTGAGAAATCGACCGTTTCTGTGGCTGCCAAGCGCCGAGACATTCCCAGTCGAGAGATGGTCGCTGACGTCGAGGAAATGGTCGTACAAAGGATGCCCTCAAGACCATGAGAGCGTCGAGCAACTGGAGGATATGCGTCGAGAACTCCGCCTGAGCCGTGAAGTTCGCACCGTCGAGAGAGCAACCCGGTCAAATCTCAACTAAATCCCGTCATCTCAGGAAAAGATATACTGCAGCAACTACCCCGATTTGGGTCAAGAAATTAGATAACCAATGAAGGTGATTGTCCCGATTTGGTAGCTGAAATCGTGGAAGTACAGCTGTCAGATCCCAAGATTTAGGGGGAAGGGGATGATCTCCTTGAGAAATGGAAATGAGATCTCTAATATGTAAAGGGTCTATAAATAGAGCATGCTTCTTCCATTAAGTTTTTTACGCACTATTCTACTACTCTGAAAGATTGTAATCAACAAAATATTAGTGCATCCACAAGTGGACGTAGGCGGAGAATTCTTGCCAAACTACTATAAATTTATGTGTTCTTTATTTCTTATAACTATAATCTTTGATTAATCCGTGATAGACGTCTGCGAGTATTTCTGGAGAGTTAATCTTTAGTTAACTAAATTTTACAGTCAACATGTTTCAACACTGAAACATTTTGATTTAAAAAAAATCCACACTGAAACACTGATTTTGTACAGCCACCGCCGTCAGAAAAGAATGGTAAAGCTCATGAACGGCCGAACTTGACTGCGATGGCCGCCGTTAGGTTTCTCATTGCAAGGCTAAGCTAGTAAGACCGTAATGATGGCGATATCTTGGCTTGCAAAGATCAACGATCTTTGCTAAAGAAATCTGTAGGACATCGTCTGTTTGAGAGAGAGTAGATCGTTGGAGAAGGAGAGAGAGTTGGCAGGAGGGAGGGGACGCACAGAAGAGAAAGAAAGGAGAGAAAATTGAAAAGAAAGAGAAAAAAATGGAAAAGGATAAATTTGGAAAAATAAAGTATTTAAAACCGAAAAAACTTTACTAATTTCTATACCTCGTTTTATTTTATCGGGTTGAGTTTTCAGTTTTAAGTTTATACAGTTAAAATCTATCAAAAAATGTCACATTTAACTTTTTCTGTTACAGTTAAAAGCTTTTAAAAAATTTCATATCTTAACTCGAATTGAAAACTCGAATCCACGGCTAAAAATTGGTCAGTGGGCTATTTACTTCCACAAGTATTAAACGTTGGTCCATTTCCTTATAGTGTGGTTTCAATGGTTAGTTCAATTTATCCATTTATTAATTGTTAAAGGTTCTTTATAAAAGCGCTCTCTCTTTTTTTTTTTTCTTTTCCGTTGAATTTAAGTTTGTCATTTCAAAACTAGCTGCCTGGTATAATAAGTTGTTTCCATTATTTGTTATTAATACAGATGTCAAGGATATATACGAAAAAAAGTTGGCCCATGTTCAATACCTTCAACTCTTGAGTATCATGCGCAAAGCAATAGAAACTAGTTGTGATGGAAATCAAATAAACAATGTTGGAGTCCTTAGCGCTATCGGGGAAGCAATCCACCGCGGAAATGTGGAGTTTATTATTAACATAACAAAAGCGAATCCAGAACTTATGTGGAGTACAAGTGTAGCAAGATACGTGTTTATGTTAGCTATTGAACATCGTCAAGCGGAAGTTTTTAGCCTTATACATGGCCTCCCTGATAAACAACTGATAGCATGCTATTATGATCCGGACACTCGCGATAACTTGTTACACAAGGCAGCATCAATACCGTCTTCGAAAATACTCAATCTCATCCCAGGAGGCGCAGCTCTACAAATGCAGAGGGAACTACAATGGTTCAAGGTACCATTTTTCACTTCCTACGCAAATACTTATTGAGTAGGATTTATGTATATATATAATGAAAAAAGAACAGTGCCGCAATTTCTTTATTTGAGTGGTAGATCGTAGATATATAGATACAGATATATGTATATATAGATAAAAAGGAAAATAAAATAAAAAAATAAAAATAATAGAGATAAGAGAGATTGACACATGGACAAAGGTCTACTATAGAAAAGAGCTTTTGTATAAGAAAAAGAAAAAAGATTGACACACATATACATATGTTAATTAGAAATTAGACAAATATGACTATTGATATGATAGATATTACACATAAAATAAAATAATTAAGTAGTGACACATTTGAAAAAAATTCATTTTACCGTTGATAAAAAGATAAAATAGAAACATATGCAAAAGAAATAATTTTCATAAGAGTACAGTGATGAAAAAATATATATATTTCGAAAAACACATGTAAAAAATTAAACTTTAAGATATTGCTTTCGTAAGAGTAAAGTGGTACAAAGAATTATTTTTTAAAAGAACAGATAAAAAATTAGATTGTAAGATAACATTAAAAAAATAAAATATTTAAAGAACAAAAAAATAAAGATAAAAAAGCAAAGAGTGAAAAAAAGGGAGAAGAAAGAGCTACCACGTGGCAATCCTAAGGAAAAGTACTATTGAAGATCTTAGCTCTTTTATGTATTATTAGATTTTGAAAAAAAAAAAAACATGTTGAAAAAAGTTAAAATGTTTAGTAGCGTAGAGCACTTGAGAAAAATTCAAAAAGCTAATAGGGAAAACAATTTTAAAAAAAGAAAAAGAATAAAAGTCAAGAAAAAAAAGAGACGAGCCACGTGTTGGCCTCCTCTTCTGTGAGAAGGAAAAACCTCCAGTCTTTTTTATTTATGTTTGCGATTAGCTATTAAAGATAGAAATTACAGATTAAATATTAAAGATAGAGATTAGAGATAGAAAAAAGAATTAAACTGTAGAGGAGCTTCTGAAAAAATAAGATTAATAAATAAGCAATTATTTTAACGCAAATAAATTAAGGAAAAAACGTGTTTAGAAAAACATGTTATAAAAGAGTCAAAATGCCTAAGCACATAGAGCACTTGAGAAATAACCAAAAAGAAAAACAATGGAAAAGAAAGAAAAGAAAAATAGTAAAAAATTGTATGCTAGAGATTATAGACTAGTTGAGTTAGTATGGGGAGAATAACATTATGAGTTTGATCCCTTGTTAAAACAAGTGACTTCCAACTTAAACAAGAAAGATATTTCAAAACATCACATCGAAAAAGAATTAAAATTATATAAAAGTTTTTAACTAAAAAAAGAAAAATAAACTTAAGTACAGAGATATTTAAAAGTAATATTTTAATTAAAAGAAAGTGTGAAAAATAGTTTTTTAAAGAGGGTATTGCGAAAAAAAAGAACTGTCAAAGAATATGAGGAGAAAATAAAAAAAAAAAAACACAATAGGAAAAAGAAAAGAAGACAAAAAAATTAAAACTAAAAATTTATTGTATAGGAGTTTTTAGCGCAAAAAAAAAAAAGCAAGAAAATAAAGGTGAAAGAATAAAAAAGTAAAAACAAAAATAAAGATAAAATATGAAGGAAAAAAATTAGAGATTGACCCGTGACAAAAAACAAAAAAAAGTTACCTCTTTGACTATTTTATGTATATTTAGATTAAATAATTTTACATCATATTTTGAAATGTACGCAATTTATAAAGCTTTCACATCTCAAAGTTCTGATAAATCCCTCCCTTTTTGGTCAATAAAATTTACTAAAATGTCCTCCACATTTTTTAATTTAACCTTTTTCTTAACTCTTTTTATCCTTATTCTTTTTTTTTTCCTTATTCTTTCTTTTTTTTTTAAATATAGAGGTGCTTAAATTTTACAATTTGAAGGTAGAAATTTAAAATAGTCTAAAATAGAAGGTATAATTTTTTGATAATCCTAAAATAAAGGGTATAAAGATCACTACAACATATCAGAGATTAGACGACACCGATTTAACGATATTTTACAAAAAATTTATCGTTAAAAACACGTGCCACGAAGACTTTCGTATTTTAAAAATCTATACACATATTATATGACGGATCTCAGAATACCATCATCTAAATGCCAAAAACTTTAAAAAACAAAGCAGACCTCTTCTGCTAATTCATTTTCTAAAAATTTTTAATGTTTTTTATATCTCTTCTATAACTTCGAGCACACTCTCACCAACTCTAAGTTTTTTTCCTCTCCCCCCAATCTTAAGTGTTCTCTCTCTCTTCTTAACACCCTAACTCTCTCTCTCTCTCTCTCTCTCTAAATCTCCCTCTCAATACTTAAAATTTTTCTCCAAAATCTCATCTCTTCTACACTCATGATCACACCTGCTAATATTTCCAAAACACGCCGCCTTCGCGATCCTCACAACCATGCCCATACATCCTCGGTTGTCGTGATCATTGTGCCACCATATTCGCCACCACACCTTGACCACTGAAATTGGAGTACTTTTATAATCTTTAGAGATTTCTTTTCTTTGAAATTAGGTTTTTTTTATTTAGAATTTTCTTTGTATGTAAGTATTTTTGCTGTTAAATTTCATTAAAAAAAATTTATTTGCAGGTTTTTAAATATTTGTGGTGCATGTATATTATTCGTTTGTTTTGCTAATTTGAGTCGAGGACGAAAAATAACCAATTCAAAAAAATATGGCACACCAAACACGTGTCTTTAGTGAATATAGAATAGGAAGGAAATGACAATTTTAAACTTGTGTTAAAAAGATGAAAGAAACAAGTAAAAAGGTCTTAGGTCCTTTTGGAATGTCATACACTAAAAAAATTGAATATAATATAAAATCTGAAAATGATAGAAAACCAAATATATACTTAATTGTACAAATAGAATTCCAATAGAACGATAAAATTCAATAAAGTGCGGCACACCAAATACATATCTTTAGTAGGAAATGGAAGGAAAAAAATGACAATTTTAACAACGTGTTAAAAAGATGAAAGAAACAAGTAAAAAACACGTTCATTTCAATATTTTACGCTCTAAAAGACTACTTGGAATTCTTGTGATAAGAACTGCTATTTAATCTTCGGACATGTCGTTTTAACCGTTAAATTAGTTTCTCAATGGTATGATCTGTAAGTTTTTATAATAAAATCTTACAAGCTGGGCACAAAATTAATCCTACTCCAATATCAGACCACCATTGAAAAACTAAACTGTCCCTATAACAGTTCTTACTCACAAGGTAAAATGGGAGTTACTATTATTAAAGTTCTCAAAAGTATTGGAATTATTCGTACCCTTGAACTTTTTAACATTTTGCAATTTTTTAGTAAATAAGTGATAGGACTTGGCAAATTTTCTTCAACTAATTTATCTTAGTTTTTTATTGGGAAAATTTAATCGCCGTTGTTTACACATCTTTGTCAAGTAGTTAAGGTTAAAATGAAAAGTTCTAAATTCTTAAAACTTAAAAATGTTAAAAGACTCTTAAATTCTTTCCTTAAAGTGGTATGCTTTTGTAATGAAGGAGGTTGGGTCAATCGTAACACCTGCGCAACACATATTTACAAACAAGGACTTTCTTCGACCAGAACAACTGTTTACAGAAAACCACAAGGATTTGGTAATCGCAGGAGAAAAATGGATGAAGGACACATCAAGTTCTTGTTCTGTTGTGGGTGCTCTAATTGTTACCATCACATTTGCTGCGGCATTCACAGTTCCTGGTGGTAACGATCAAAATATGGGCTTTCCTATATTCAGGAACAAACAATTGTTCAAGGTTTTCTTTATATCAGATGCAATCTCACTGTTTGCGTCAACAACATCAGTTTTAATGTTCCTAGGAATCCTCACATCACGTTATGCAGAAGAAGATTTCTTGAAATCCTTGCCAACAAAGATGATAATAGGCCTCTCCACCCTGTTTTTCTCAATAGCAACCATGATGATAGCATTTTGTGCTGCAGTTTCCGTTATGCTTCCAGAGACATGGATTGTTCTTCTCGTCTGCTTACTTGCAAGTGTTCCGATTGCCTCATTTATAAGGATACAGTTTCATCTGTTAGTTGATATCTTCATGTCTACTTATGGACCAAGTATTTTTAAGAGGAACATTAAACCTTGGTTAGATAGCAAACGCCAATAAGATGAAGGTTTGTATTTATATACATGTGTGTGTGTGATGTATTCTTGGTACTCCAGATTCTAGAGACAATTACTGAATTGTCAAGTTATCAACCGAATTTGAGTGGATGTATTCGGAAATCAAATATGTATGACTGGATTTTATTTCTGGACGTATTGAAGTACAGTTCTTTTCAAGTACTTCTTTCATTGGTCAACCTTGTCTTTTTTTTTTTATAGAAAAGATTTTGATTTTTTCTTGACTTGTTTGCTATGATAAGAAAGAAAGAAAATGAATCTACCTCCCCTTGTCTGGTATTGGAATTGAAACTAAAGGGATGAAAAAATTATTATTGGTGTAATTACTTTTTTACCCAAATGAGGACAATTTTAGATGAAAAATGAGGACATCTCAGTAATTTGACTTCATTTGTGTAGTTATCTATATTTTTCTTCCTAAAATCCACCCACTTTTAGAGAGATTGAATATGGTGGGACCCGCCGATAAAAATTTCCATTCAATTTTCCTTTCCTTCCCAATTTCCTTTCTACCAAATAAGCTAACTTCTCAATTTCCATCCCAAAATCCTTTTAACATTTTCTTTCCTTCCAATTTTTATGCATACCAAACACACTGTAAGTGTTGAAATTAACCATGCTTATTCAGTATCTAAATTAAACATATTATAAGATAAAAGGTCTCTGTTTTTCTCTTTTCACCTTGCATTTAAGTTTGTCCATATTTCAAAACTAGCTGGCTGGTATAAGTAATTGTTTCCATTGTTTGTTATTAATACAGATGTCAAGCATATACACAAAACAAAGTTGGCCCATGTTCAATACCTTGAACTCTTGAGTATCATGTACAAAGCAATAGAAACTACTTCAGACGAGAATCAAATAAACAAAGCTAGAGTCCATGACGCTATCAAGGAAGCTGTCAGCAATGGAAATGTCGAGTTTATTAAGAAGATATCAAGAGCGAATCCAGAACTTGTGTGGACTTCTGATCTAGCCAGAGACGTGTTTGTGCTTGCTATTGAACTTCGCCAAGCGGAAGTTTTGAGCCTTATGCATGGTCTCCCTAACAAACAAGTAATAGCAATCTCTTATTTTCCTGGCACTGAAAATACCATGTTACACAAGGCAGCATCAATACCATCTTCAAAAATACTCAATCTCATCCCAGGAGGCGCAGCTCTACAAATGCAGAGAGAACTACAATGGTTCAAGGTAACATTGTATGACATAAAACCAAGCACCTAATTATATAAACTATAATTCAAATATAATGATAAAATTCGAAAGCTTTTTCTCATACCTTGGATTTTTAGATTATTATACCAGATTTGTATAGCCTTCAAATTTCAAAGTCATGCTAAATCCTTCCCCTTTTTCGATCAAAGACTGTATTGGACTGTGAGATTTACAAAATAGGAGTTGACCAACTAATTAGCCAACGGCCCTTACTGATTGGATAAAATAGGAGTTGCTACTTTTAAAGTTCTCAAAAACATTGGCATAATTCGTACCCCTTGAACTTCTTCGCATATTGCAAAAAGTGACTGGACTATTGGATAATTTTCTTCGACTTTAGTTTTGTATTGGGAAAGTTTAATTATTGTTGTTTATACATCTTTGTCAAGTAGTTAAGGTTAAAATGAAAAGTTCTAAATTCTTAAAACTTAAAAATGTTAAAAGACTCTTAAATTCTTTCCTTAAAGTGGTATGCTTTTGTAATGAAGGAGGTTGGGTCAATCGTAACACCTGCGCAACACATATTTACAAACAAGGACTTTCTTCGACCAGAACAACTGTTTACAGAAAACCACAAGGATTTGGTAATTGCAGGAGAAAAATGGATGAAGGACACATCAGGTTCTTGTTCTGTTTTGGGTGCTCTAATTGTTACCATCACATTTGCTGCGGCATTCACAGTTCCTGGTGGTAACGATCAAAATATGGGCTTTCCTATATTCAGGAACAAACAATTGTTCAAGGTTTTCTTTATATCAGATGCAATCTCACTGTTTGCGTCAACAACATCAGTTTTAATGTTCCTAGGAATCCTCACATCACGTTATGCAGAAGAAGATTTCTTGAAATCCTTGCCAACAAAGATGATAATAGGCCTCTCCACCCTATTTTTCTCAATAGCAACCATGATGATAGCATTTTGTGCTGCAGTTTCCGTTATGCTTCCAGAGACATGGATTGTTCTTCTCGTCTGCTTACTTGCAAGTGTTCCGATTGCCTCATTTATAAGGATACAGTTTCATCTGTTAGTTGATATCTTCATGTCTACTTATGGACCAAGTATTTTTAAGAGGAACATTAAACCTTGGTTAGATAGCAAACGCCAATAAGATGAAGGTTTGTATTTATATACATGTGTGTGTGTGATGTATTCTTGGTACTCCAGATTCTAGAGACAATTACTGAATTGTCAAGTTATCAACCGAATTTGAGTGGATGTATTCGGAAATCAAATATGTATGACTGGATTTTATTTCTGGACGTATTGAAGTACAGTTCTTTTCAAGTACTTCTTTCATTGGTCAACCTTGTCTTTTTTTTTTTTTTTGGATGGAAGAGAGAGTATCTAAAGATACAATTCAGGGTGAAAAGAAATCCGACCGAATAATGTCTTTTTCTATTCAAAGAGCGAATAAGAGTAAATCATGTGACGTTGAAAACAACACATAAGATTTATGAAACTGCCTAGAAAAAGAAAATATAGTACTGGGGACAAATCTTGTCTTAACAAAAGTGATAACAGTTTAAAAGGCATGTATGAAACAACATTAGTTTCAGGGGGTGTTATATCCAAAATGATGGGCTCTTTTACAACCTTAATCGAGATGAATTTGAAGGAAAATATAAAGGAGAAAAGCATATCTCCCTTAAAGCTGAAGACTCGAAGATGACAAGTCAAATGACAAGGAAGATTTGATTGAATCTCTTGCTTAGCTAACCAAGAATTTCAACAAATAGGAGAAGAAACAACAAGATAAGAGAAACGGATAGATTCCTTTACTCATTAAGTTGTAAAAGAATTTTCTGATGTGGTAAGGTCTCTCATTCGCGGGACAGAAAAGGGGCAAGGTACAAGGGATAGTTACATTTGATTCCCTTTCTTGAAGTTAAGTATATATGCAACATTCAGAAGAGAAAAAGTACATATGTAACAATGTTATCAAAACCCCTATTTTGTGCCATTTTATGTTGTAGAGAGGAAAGTGAGACAAATCCTATTTTACGAGGTCAAATTTGGGATTAACCCTTCTCTAGCTATATTTGCATAATAGCTGAAAAATTGAAATGGCAGGGAGTGATCAAGAGATCACAAACTTTAGACAGCATCGGCTCCTGTTTGACGCTGTCAGACATGGTAATTGGGAGACCGCTAAGACGTATCTTCACCAACATCCTGATGCAGTGAGAGCGAGAATCAATATTTCGGGCAAGACTCCACTTCACGTCGCAGTGAGTGATGGACATTTGCACATTGTGGAGGAGTTGGTGCAATTAATGACTGAAGAAGACCTGCTGACGCGACGGAAGGATGGTTTCACAGTTCTCGCAGCTGCCATAGAAATTGGAAACATTTCCATCACCAAATGCTTGATTAGAAAGAACAAGAAACTACTTAGCATTGAGCGTAGAAGTTCTGAAATTCCAGTTATCATTGCTGTCCGTTTAAACTTTCACGAAATGGCTCGTTATCTTTATACAGAAACACCAGAAGAAGATCTAAAATTGCGAGATAATGGCAAGACAGGCTCTTTCCTCATCAGCGAATGTATATACCGAAATCATTTTGGTAAGGATTCAACATAAAACAAATATATATGGCTGGATAGTCAAATGGTTCTGTCAGAAAACGTAGTGTATATGACCTTGGACTATTCTCGCTCATATAAACGTGCAGTACTAAGGTTTTTGAAACGAAGTCTATTGCTCTTTCCTTTTTCTTTCCTTTGTTTTTCTTTATATATATATATATATATATATATATATATGTATATGTATGCATGTATTTTTTTTTAATAATCAGTTCTGTAAAATCTGTGAACTCTTTTATATATATTCATATTAATATTATATAACACTACAGATATCCCCATCCATTTGCTCGAGCGTTCGCCAGGTCTCGCAATTATTCTGGATTCTCTTAACAGATCCCCCGTGTGGGCATTAGGACGAACTATAACCAAATCCGTCTTTGCTGGTAGAAGCCAGTTAGGGTTTTGGCAACGATGGATATATGACTGTGAGTATCCAATTGTTTCTCGTAATTAACATTTTATAGGTATGTATTAGTTCTTTAATAATCTTCTTTAATTTCTTGTTAATAAAGTTCCTTTCCCTAGCTATATAGTGCAAAGATTTACTGCAGGAAAACATGACCTTGGCATCTTGGCTTGCAAAAATTAATCGAGAAAATTGATAAACTTTATTTCTCTAGCTGTTGCAAAGATAAAATAATCATGTAATTTATTCTCAGTTACTTCCGTTTCAGTGGTGACAGGTATAAACACTGCCAGTCATGCGGCCAATCAAATTTCTATAGATGTCCAGAATAGAGAAAATAGCCAAATGGATGAAAATGACTTTACTCCAATTAAGGCAGGTAATTAAGGCTAATGACTTTAAGATGACTTTTGACACAAAAAAAAAAAAAAAAAAAGGTAAGTATTGAACTTGAAATGTAAAGGTATAAATATGATATATTTTAAAATACAAGATATCATTTAAAAAAAAAAACCTCAAAATATATAGGATATAAAAATGAAAAAAAGATTCTTTTTTAAATAAAAAACTAACCGCCATTCTTTTTTTTCACTCTCATTTTAAACTTTATTTAACTATCTTTTTAAAAAATAAAAAAAAAAGGTTATATATTCTCAAGGATTTAAGAGCTTCAATAATCAATAACTAGAGCATTGAGATGTGCATCTTTACTTTTATTTGATTAAATGATATGTGTAGAATAATAATAATTATATATATATATAGATGTTCAGTGAACAAATCTTGTCTTAGCAAAAGTGATAATTTGAATTTAATATATGTACGGAGAAATATTGAGAATATACGTTTCTATTCAATTATATTATAAAGTAAAAGTGATTCTTTAACTGAATTCATGAAAATTTGTCAAAATTTATAAGAAGTATAATTTTATTACTGAGAAATGTTACAA